AGTAAGTAATTAAACAAACCGTCGAGCAATCAACCGTTAATTTGTAAAAAAAACTAAATAATAAAGTACTAGGAACCTATAAAATGTCAAAGGTTATCGGAGAACACGTGGTCATCCCTGCGTTTGATGTTATTGTACTATGAACTTTATGAGTCATGGTTTAGAGTGTTAAGTTCATTGGTTTCTGCACATGTAAGGCTCACATGGTAGTGATTCACAGTGTAAATAGTGTTATCTATTTTGTTAGAGAAATTGATAAGGCCTCGTGACTTTGTAACAGCGTGTGTAATATGAGAATGTTTGTGTTTGTATTGATAGTAGACTTTGTTTGTTTTGGTGAAATTAAACTAGAAATTATAAATAACTTTTGTCAGCGGTTTGTAACTATTTTTGGGGGCAAAGGGCTTGTTATTTTACGCTTTAGACTTAACATAACATCACGCCCTTTATCCCTGTAGGGGTAGACAGAGGTGCCACTATACAATGTAACACCCACTTTTCGCTATTTATGCTACTATGAGTCCCATGTAATAGGGATATTATATATTGTATTATCCTATTGCCATAGGATAATAGGACAAAATTCCAAACTCCGTGCTACTACTAAGAATTTTTAAAATTCAGTAATATTTACTTTACCTGACCCACCCAAGCAGTCGCATTAACGGTCACTCGGGCAACGAGGCAGTAGGCTATAGACTAGATTAAAGTTAAAACTGGGTAAGAACTATTTTTGTATGTTTAAAATAAGGTTGAACTTCATAATATTCTTTTAATGAAACCTAATAGCTTTAAAATGTCGCAGCAATCAGGAGTAGATGTGATATTTAAATATTACGCTGGAATTTATATTATGAATGACATTTGAACTTAAATTAGGTTTATAGCTTGGATCATTATGATTATTCTTTCATGTGGACGTTTACGATGATAGGCAATACATATTAATTCTTGACTAGTTTTTCATTCAGGCAGCAGATATAATTACAATACTTATACAATAGGGTAGATGACTAATTTTTATTTTAATGTCCGTCTGGTAGATTATTTTAAAACATTACACACGTATTTTTTATTTTTTTACAGAAACAAATTCTTTCGACGATATATTGATTTGAAATGTCGCGTGACGTCACTTCTATATACATTTTATACGTAGTAATGACTTTTTAGCCCCCACTCCTAAACTTTGATTCGTTTTATCTAAGTATCGATTTTATCATACGACAAAATAAAAAAAATACGTTACTAATATTTTTTTAGTACGTTACGGACTAATTAGATTTTTAATTTTCATACCCTGTCATCATCACTATTACTTATAGAGAGGAATAAAGATTATTTTTTAAGGTTTAAGTACCGCCACATAGCAATAGTACAGAGGAGTCACATCAAAAATAAAACTTTTGTTACGTTGTTATAAAATCGAAAAGAAAAACTAGACAGATAGCTTATGTAAATTAAGTGTGGGAGAGCCATGCTTCGGCACGAATTGGTCGGCTCGACCGGAGTGATACCACGGCCTCACAGAAAACCGACGTGAAGCAACGCTTGCGTTGTGTTTCGTCGTGTTATTGAGGTTACCGGAGGCCCAATTACCTTCCCCTTCCCCAATCTCCCTAATCCCTGAATCCCCAACGATCCTCAAACTCCTAATCCCCAAAAAGCCGGTGACGCACTTGTAACGCCTCTGGTGTTCCAGGTGTCCATGGGCGACGCCGATTGCTTACCATCAGGTGATCCGTCTGCTCGTTTACCGGCTAATGCCATAAAAAAAAGGTAATAGATGGGGTATCTGGATATATGCTATTATCTTCATAACTTGACAAAAACATGAATAATAAAGAATATCCGACGAGCAGTCTTACGAGCAATGACGCCATACATATTTGTTATTCCACACGGTTAGACCAGCTGTTAAAACTATTGCTATGTACTTGTACAAACTCAACTGAAATATTAATTATAACTCATACTGAAGAACCTATGTAGCATACTTAGCGATATAGTGGTATCTCTTTCTGTTGGACTATGAGGGAAAAGGATGGAAGTTTAAATGACTTCTAGGTTCGACCTTCACATTAATATCAAGAATTTTATAAAGAGAAAAATATTGATGTATGGCGTTAACACAGTTCTTAGTACATTAGGCATACGGTTTTATGAAGAAGGAAGCTAACTACATAATGCTTAACCTGGGAATATAACTATTATGATATTGCATTGTATTAAATAGGTACGTACATATATTATAAGACGAAATGCGGATTAGTTAGATTGAGAAAAGGATTAAAATATGATGAAAAACTCATAAATACATATTGAAAAAGTCAGTCAATGCATAAATGTACAACACCGTGCAGTACCGTGCATTAATTCAGTTCATTCAGTCTAATTCAGTCATCAGTCAGTCAGTGCATATATCCATATCTAAAAAACTAAAATAGAAACCACTAAAATTGGAAACCATTACAAGATAAACACGCAAAGAACTTTTTACGTTGTCATATAAACAATTAATTTTTATTTTATTAAAAGTTTTAAATACAACTATATAACCAACAACATGTTTTAGTTATACATAGTTATGTACAAAAAGCTAAACTATAAAATGATCCATAAAATTTACTCATACAAAAGTAGTGAAGTTCTCACGGTTGCGGCTGCGCAGCGATACTATCAAAAATCCATAAAGCGATTGAATACATATAAAATAGTGTTTTTGTATAACAATAGTGATTTATTCGCTTTCGTTCTGTACCAAGGTTATATACTGTTGACAATGGTGAGGTCACACACACTATATTGTTTAAAATTTCAATAAAAGTAAGCCTTAATTGTGGTTCAGTGTGTTAGTGTTTGAACTAGTTTTTGTATAGACGTAGTTTTGTGTAATTTTAGTTTTGTTATATTGTCAGAATCTGGATTCATGCTTAGTGTATGATTACGAACTTTCAGTCATCAACTATGGTTTACCTCTACTTAAGATACTTTGCTATATTATCAATCCATTCATTCATGCATGCATACATTGGTATTTTGGCTTTACTCCCTTTTACGTAGTACAAGTTAATAAAGAACGAATGGGCCGGCTCGACCGGAGTGATACCACGGCCTCACAGAAAACCGACGTGAAGCAACGCTTGCGTTGTTTCGTCGTTTGAGTGAGGTTACTGGAGGCCGAATTAACTCCCTCCCCAGTCTCCCCAATCCCCGAATCCTCCACAATCCTCAAATTCCTAATTCCCAAAAGGCCGGTATGCACTTGTAACGCCTGGGTGTTTCAGGTGTCCATGGGCGGCGCCGATTGCTTACCATCTGCTCGTTCACCGGCTTATGCCATAAAAAAAAGAAATAGGTGTAACAATACCCTTATTTATTTACCTCATTTCAAAACCCGATCTTTGAGTGTTAATCGAGAAACGATTCCAATATTATCGATAAGTAATTGCCATCTCAAGTAAAAATAAACTTGACATGTTTATCGATACATATCCGGGACTGCATTGCAACATTGTAATCGTTAAATTTTACTCATTTCACCTCTGATCTCAGGGTTATCTCATCAGCAAGGTGGAACAATATCATTGATACTAACTTAGGTAAATAAAAATAGTTTGTTATCTGTTTAATTGGGCATTTATCAAAACTATATTAAAGGTGAAACTGCATTCTTATTTTCTTTCAAGAAGGTCCATCTTCTGGACATCATTTTTTGGTGGAATATTATAGACTTTATCTATATATTTATGATGGAACCTATGTCAAAATCACTACGCTTAATTATATATTTTTTTTGTAATTAATGGGCCGACGTTTGACCAGTTTTTCGGCTGGTGGTTAGCGATGATGCGGTCTACGATGGAGCACGACACGTCGTCCCATAAGCACCTTGAAGCCTATTCACCTTGACCACCAAGCCTATTCACCATTTGAAGCTTATAAACCTATTCACAAAGGCCTTGAAGACACCCAGGTTATATTAGGAATTACCCTTCAGGAAATACAGACTCTGGCAAATAATTCCACTCCTTAGCAGTACGCACAAGGAAGTTTGATGCGAAGCGATTCTTGTATAACATTTTATGTATTTCTCTATTTTATTGTGTAAATTTTTGTTTACTATTATGTAATATCGGTTTGCAAAAAATGTATTTAAGCACTTAAACCCATTCTACGTATTTTTGGGCATCAGTCAAATAAAATTGGGAATACAATCTCGTTTCCGAAACGGGGCATATTACAAAAATTACGCAACGAAGGTATTATAATGTAAATCGTCGATATTCACAACCGTGAAACGAGTTTTTTAAACTCGTTTTTATCAAATTTTCTTTGAGACATTTCGATATCTGTTTAGTGTTTATGTACCTCATTCTCTAATGGACGGGTTTTATGGAATAAAATAAAATATCTTGATTTTGGTAAAGGGGAATTTTGGGCCGTAACTAATACTATTGTTAATGCTCAAGCATTACGTCCATATCAATATGAACAGCTTAAGTTAGAAAGCGGCTAATTTGTAAGCGTTTCGTACTAATTCATTGCCTACAATACAGTGTATTGACATCTATACCACAAATTATTATTGATCAGTTTTTTGTAATACGTAGAATTTATTGTCTAACTAGATCCACATTGTTTAAGTTACACTCTGAATATATGACAGTTTAGGAAACAAATGTCCCCTTAATATAGAAAAGCTATACAATCTAGCTTGCGTTGTGTTTCGTCGTGTGAGTGAGGTTACCGGAGGCCTAATTACCCCCCCCCCCTTCCCCAATCTCCCCAATTCCTGAATCCCCCAACGATCATCAAACTCCTAATCCCCAAAAGGCCGGTAACGCACTTGTAACGCCTCTGATGGTCCAGGTGTCCATGGGCTGCGCTGATTGCTTGCCATCAGGTGATCCGTCTGCTCGTTTACCGGCTTATGCCATAAAAAAAAGAAAAAATAGGATCCTTCAATTAGACTACCTTCAATATGAATTTTTTCTTACCGTCAACTTTGGTATGGTGTGGTGATGAGGGTGCGGATTCAACATCTGAATGTAGACTGTATGAGTGTTCTGTCTTGATTGGGGCGGCTCCCAAAGCCGCGTCTGTCATCAACCTGTCGTGCAGCACTACTCCTGATTTGGAATCCCTCTCGATCAGCCAGTCTGTCATTTCTGAATCTTCTTCCAATACATCTTGCATCTCCTGTAATTAAGGAAAATGGGTTATTAGCCTATGGTATTCGTTTTAACTCGTCGAGTACCGGTTTTATAGACACAATTAAATCGTCGAGTACCGGTTTTATAGACACAATTAAAGAACAATAGGTCGCGGTCACCGGTGACCGCTAAGCGAAACGTTTTTTATTTACTTGTATCAATATTAAAAGTGTAGGTAGGTGTACCTTAATGTTTTAAATGTATTTGATGAAATGAGAAATTATTTTGTTCAAATTATAAAACTAACGGATTTACGGTAAGTAGGTACCTATTTTTAGTACTACTATATATTCATGTTTAATTATAGTTGTAGAAGACGCTGCATTAAAGTATTGATTAATGCGAATACAACACCATTAAAATACAAAACGTTACGTCATAGGTTTTTCAGGTAATACAAGGTAACTACGTTATTAATAGGCATCTAGTATATTAAGTCTTTTACCTGTTCGTTACATCTACGATTATACAATAACAATTTTTTAACGAACATCTAAAGAAATATTTACACCGACTAAAAAAATAATTCTACATTTTTCCGCCATTTTAGAATTCGCTACTAACCTTGAACCTGACGAAAAACAAGTCCTATAATGCCCCATTATCTGTATTTTAACCTCCCACGGAGCCATTTTGTTTACCTATATACTGCTACATTCGATCATAAGTATGTAGGCAGCGAACATCGTCGGTCAATAAACTTGCAAACGTTACGCCATTTTAAAGATAAAAAAAAAACAATGTGTATGAACGGTGTTTGCAACACCTTAAAGTTTATTATCGTTTGTTTTTGTTTTTTCCTCTTTCTAGCTGCGTTTTATTATTTTGTTTTCTTTTTTTCGAATTTGGAATTTGACGGCCAGAGTTACGAGTGCTAGTTTTCTCGATGGCGTTGGTATGGAAACTCCTTGAACGTTCCGTACGTATATCGTATGGGATTTTCCGCCAATCATTTAATTGAATGATGTTCTTATAGCCTCTTGGTAAAGGTTTCATTGAATTAGCATATCTGTTTAGTTAATTGTACTTCTCGGAAAATCATGTTTTTCTTGGTCATGCTAATCATCTGTTAAACAAATCGTCCCTATAGGTAGATTTAAATTTTGTATCAACAATTTTAGTAAATAAACACCCGGTATAGGATTCTACCAGTGAATGTTTTTTTTTTTACGTGTAGTAATTTGACTCCAACCTATGTGTCTAATTTACCAATGTACAGATCGTAAAGACTTCAGTATGGGTTTCTAAAGAAACAAATGATGGCTATTATTGCTGATATAATCAACAGTAATAAAGTTGAGCGCTCTGCTTCCAAAGAGTCAATGTCTAGTAATTCGCTATTCAACTATTTATTGTAAAGGTTTCAGCACACTAGTTTTAGAATAGGAATGCAAAATGTGCGTTGCAAAGAGTTTGATATTGTTTTAAATTCTGTAAGCCTGTAATAGTTTTGTTTCACATTTATATCTCTTCGTCTTCATTTAACAGTTTTGATGACATCTACGATTAATTGAACACATCTTTCTCAATTAAACAATAGAACTTTCACTACTGACAGGCACAATGTTAGACAGACTGTAATATAACATGTCATGTCGTACCCGCATCGAGGTTATCTAGATGACTTGAACAATAAACCTTTTACAAAACCCGAAATAAAAGCCGTCTAGCCGAAAACTAGTTCTAAAAACCGGTCTAGCTGTAAAAACTATCTCAGTACCTATTTTATTACTGAACCTTTGTGTAAGAATAAAACAATTGATGTTTAAAATTGGAATGTTATTTAAGTCTGGCTGGTTGGAATAGTAGTGCGAAAAGTTTACTCGATTATGTTACGTTCTAATCGATGTGCACCTTAATGTCGTGTCCCTCACCTTGGCAGTGAGTGTAAATAGGCACCGTACAAATAGAGGAGGCGAATGAACGGCCATGGAGCCGAACACGGTCGGCGACCTCTGCCGGACGCCTTCCGACTGCCTGATGAGCTTCCGACATTACGTCCAACCAAGAGGCAAAAGAAAGCCATATTTTAAGTACCTGTATGTTGGTACTTAGTATGTATGTGTCGGCGTCTAACGTCTGAATTAATGGAGCGAATTTTAAAAAGAGAAGCGCTAGTAGCGACGCCTGCAAATCAAGCTTCTTCAATCTGCATTTCTTCAATACATTTTCAACTTTATAACTTTGTAATAGAGTAGAAAATCTATTGAAAAAGTTTGACAGTTTGGAGTAGATTGATATGCTTGTGTCTGTACCCAACGGGCGTGTCTGTTGAATGTCCATTCTTTTTTTGAACGCTCACGTGTTTATGATTTTTCCAAGAAACAAATTTTATTTGCATTTCCCTGCCTACGCCTTTTTACAAACAAGCTAAAAGTGTTTATGCGATTTTTCATAAAATAGTTGTCGAATATTCAGGGGTATTGAACTTTGTGATATAGTAGTCCTCTTGTGGGAAAAACCAAATAGTAAGATCGTGATAAACATTTTAATTTGCTTCGGAATGTGTCTTTAACACTTGATGTGATTGACTTGTAAATACTAATGTATTAGGAATGAAAATCATGCGTAGTGGTATTGAGAACTTTGAGAAGAGAACTTTATATAGGAATTATGAAAATATAGGCTTTTTTATTCTTAGGAATTTAATAATTTATAAAAAAAATACTATTTTTTATGTCTATGACTAAGATAATCAACACTATAGCTTGCTATTTTATTAAAATTACGAAGTTCTATTTTTTAAAAAGTAATTGGAAAGCAACATTTTATATTCATAAGTTTTGTCTATTTACTATTTAAACCTAAATGACTTTCTTTATTCAAATATCGAATGCATTTTAATTTCCGAATATTATTTACATTGATTTTATTCAAATCGAGTTCGTTGTTCTTTTTTAAATAAATGTTTGTTTTCAATATCACGTAGTGCCTAAACTATATGTATCTAACTGGATGAGCTTTGTTAGTTTTTGATACCTATTTGTAAATAAGTTATTTTAGATTGATTGCTCAGTGCAATCTACTATGTTAGAAACCAATATGTAAAAAAGTGTTGATTAATTACAAAGAACATTTTGAAGTCTGTGCTTGTTAATCAATATATTAACTTGTAAATATTGGGAATTAGGACTAAAGGAGATTTAAGGCTTTACCTGTCCCTAAATCTACTTGATTTTGGAACAAGTTCTCATGTTATTTTTATGTGCGTAATGTTAACCTATGTAGGTAGATGCGTATAAATATCCAAAGTAGTCCAAACGTGTATTACTTAGATAGTTAAATTACCCGTATATCGCCAATATCAGCCTAAAACTGACGTCACGCCTCCATTAGTGTGGGCAGATGAATTTTTACCAAACGTCACAATTTCGTGATCACATTGTGACGGGTGTAAGATTGAAACTATTCAAGTAGTAAAAATATGTGAATAGCGTCACAAGATTGATGTGAACTGAAAGTGTTAGACAATAATACAGTACTTATATCCAGTAAGAGTAGCATTTATGTTACGCGAAACTATTATTATGCAATTTTCTATGATATACAGTCAACGAAGTACTTAGATAGGAAGGTACTTTAGCTATAAATGTAACAAACATTTTAAAATTGCCACATCTAGGTATTGTTTGTTGACATACATCTTTGTAATTTGTAATAGACACATTATGGCGATTTGAAATAAAACGTTCCAATTACAAAAAAAAATGTGTTTTTCTTTTTTAATTCATTGCATATTTTTCTTCAAAAAATATCAATTTGCTTGTCTATAGGTAGGTAATTAGGTATTTATTTATTTATGGTTGTAGCTATAGACATCTTGTTTTTAATGTCTTTGACTGATTATAAATGTGGACATTAAAAGAAAATGTTGACGATTAGATTAACTGTTATCTTTCAACAATCTAGATTATAAAACGGATTCTTTTCCATCCTATTGTTGGTTCCACATAAATCCTATCACATACTAACATCTATTTATAATTTTCCTTTACCAACACCAAATACGTACGTACTTTCGAACCGACTTAACTACAAGCTGAAGAAACGTCAAGGGAAATAAAAGCGGCTCAAGTCACCACATGTCAAGGAAAAACAAAAACTATTTTCCAAAACAACCTATAGGGTAGCAGCAGATCAATCTACCCTTTTCCGCGAAAATTATGTTTGCGATTTTTAACCTTATTCTTTAGTAGTAAAGTTTACAATTCAATTAACAGAGTGAAGTAGCTTGATGTGCTTGCATTTATGTCTAATAACAGGATAGGTCGAGATTGCTATTTTTTTTCCTTCTATAAAAATAGTTTTTACATAATGAGTAATTTTTATACACCTATCTTTATATCCGCTGATAACAGGAAGGTGATATTTTATCGATGACACCGATTCTAATTTACTATATTTCCTTACACATAAGTATTTCTATCAGATTTGTTATCAATCGCAGTTTGTAATTTCCTTTAGATATACAAATAGATCAGAGCTTGGTAATCATGGTGCCGAAGAGCAGGAGTAAGAACTGGGTGGTTTTTAGCCAGTAAGAGTGTGACACTCCCTCTCGCCTCACCCGGGCTGGAGCCATTGGATGATTTCCCCCTTCAAAAAAGGCTAAGATTTGTAACGAAATACAATAGGAATTAATGTTATTTATTTCCCATAAGCATCTTCAGCAGGTCGATCTGTAATTACTAGAAGTCTATTTCGTTAACCTAGGTACAGTTCTACCTTATACTGAGACTACTTACAAGCATTATGTGTTAAGTAATGTTCCCATATAAATATCTCACATAAACCCACACCAAAGTAAGCAAAACCGACACAAACATCAGTTGCAAATCATGCGTCTCACGGAAACGAAGAAATTAAGGTATTCACAAGATTGTCGGTGCATTAATCTCGATTGCGAAGTATTTTCCTACATATTGATGTGAATACATGTATTCACACAACTGACTACATGTACGAACGACGAGAATTTTAAAGTGTGGG